AGGGAGCGGGCGAGCCGCCCCCGCCGCCCGCCAAACCCCGCCGCAGGCGCAACTGGAGTCGCAGGAAGGTGAGCGCGCATCCACGTTTTCATTTATTTTTCAAAGTCAACTGTTACGTATGTGGGAGAAGTATTAACTTGCGCACGTTTTATTGAACTCCGCCAACTCTTGCCCACATTTATATTTTACAATATAGAATGATGAGAAAGCGAGGTTAGCAACATTTGTAAACTAGAAATTTTTGCTTCTGCATTATAGAAATCGTATTCCTACCGGTAAACTTCCCATTTGAATTTTAGTATTAGACCCAAAATAGTAACAGCTCTTTTCGTACCATTACTGGCAAAACGAGTGCTCAAAAAAACGTGCGCAGGATTAATTTCTCCTAATCCAACGGTCACTTCTATTCAATCGGATCGATGGACCGTTTATGAGCCGACTTCACAGTCGATGCTTACCAAACAAGGGAATCATGCAGCAGCAAGAGACTGTTTAAAATAAGTGGGAACTTCTAAGAGGCTTTAGACTGAAACAAAAGCGGTATTAAAGATATGCGTATTCCGTATTCGTTCATCGCGAAACCGGAATGAGGGTGAATTTTAAAAAAGAAATTATAATAATTACTGGAATATTCCTGAATGGTACCACGTTGTAACTCACTTTAGCAAAAAAAACTCTATGGATTTTAAACCATTAAAGTAAAAGGAAATTTCATTACAGTAGTTTTCTTTGGGGCATTCCATGAGAAGTGACACACTATTTACAGTGTAGTCACGGGATAGTGCTAGGTAGTTGGTGCTGCTGCTAGCCGTTAATCTTTAAACAATGCTTGTGGATGCCTTCAATATTATGAAAAATAGAATGTTTAGGCTGTGGCTTAGTTTTCTTGTACAAATAATTATCTACGTGATCACTCTTATGATCATTGTTGGTCGCTGCCCTCACAAGAAATCTCTTTTTTGTCGAGAATGAGAAAAACATTTTGTACTTGAGAGGTCAAGAGTCGCAACTCACAATTTCCATACTTTGCATGAAGAGAGGAAAACCATCTTCTCCATTTCTGCTAATGCTGGAATTACAGCTTCTTTTTACACGCTTAAACGGGCGGTAATTAAATTTGAGATTACTACTGTATACCTCCAAATAGATTTCTTTCTTGCGATAATTTTGATATGAAATCCTGAAACATGACTAAAAATGGAGTTGGAAATGATGACCTCTATGCTGCAGATTTGTGCGTTTGTGGCGACGTCACGTAAGAGCTGCTTGTAAACAGCAAAAGCTCAGCGACCGAAAGAGAGATTTCCGCGAGTGGCCGGCGAGCGACCTATCAAATCTCCCATACTCTTCCTCCGTAAACGAGTTGCTCGTCTTTTCCCCGAAGGTCATCGTGCACACCTGCTCCCACCCGGGCTGCGGCAAGACGTACACCAAGTCGTCGCACCTCAAGGCGCACCTGCGGACGCACACGGGCGAGAAGCCGTACCAGTGCAGCTGGAAGGGCTGCGGCTGGAAGTTCGCGCGCTCCGACGAGCTGACGCGCCACTACCGCAAGCACACGGGCGACCGCCCCTTCCAGTGCCGCCTGTGCGAGCGCGCCTTCTCCAGGTCCGACCACTTGGCGCTGCACATGAAGCGCCACCTCACCATGTGAGCGGCCGGCGCCGACCTCCGCGCCAACCGCGTCCACTAAACGTCCGAGCGCCGCCAGCCGCTTCGCTGGCCGATGGCGCCAACCAAGTTGGCGAGCTAACGGCGCAAGCCAGCAGATGCGGCGACAAACATTTCCGCGACGTTGGAACGACTGCATCGATGATCAGTAACTCGGTTCCGCCGGTGATTCTTTGGTGCCAATGTAGACGTTGTAATGGCGCAATGATAAAATGGCGTTGTGGCAAAAATATGTGCGCGTTGATGGAACGATTAATAAGCGATGATTCGTTCGGGCCAATGGATCTGTTGTTGATTCAGCAGTAGTGAGGACTTGAAGCAATATCGTATTGCAGCTCAAGACTGACCGCATTAATGTAAAAACTATACAGATAATAGCCAATCTAGTATCTTTCAACCGCCGATTATATTTTGGTGTCAATAAAACCGTCCATGACAAGGCAGAAAAGTCACCCGTTGTCTCTACATTAATGATATATCTCAATAGAAGGGAGATTTGTGCAGTATCTTCCGATTGGTCGATAGATCCCTTGGCGCCAGTGAAACCGTCCAACCACAGCCGCGATTGTGGGCTGTTCTCAGCTTAGGAGAGACGTCTCCACAGTCATGTAGACTGCTTTGGAAGTACACTCACACAAGCTGAACGCCAACGAAAACATCGAACGCCATTGAAAACGAGACCTTCGCCTTTCATGCGTCTGTTCTTCATAAACGACTGGCTCTGTGACACCGTCGAGTCCACCGACATGGAGCCTACGCACTGGCGCTTTCTACCACAAGCTGGAAGAAGGGGCGTTGGCGTTTTCTACAGGCATGCGCAGTCTTCCGTGTTGAGATAATCACTACATTGCCACATCGACAACCGATCATCGTGCACCAACGGGAGCATAATGCCATCTTCATCTGTGACTCGTGTTTTTTTAAGAGACATATTGAGCCAGCTCAGTCCCTGTCTGAAGGCACAAATGTTATTGAATCAGATTTTTTTGAAATTGTGAGTACACGTATTAAATACATTTTTTCACGTTGCATTTCACAACAAGGGTTCATATATGTAGTTCTGAAAACGATTTACTTCTTCTAAATTTATACAGAAAAGCCTAATCTGGAAATAAACCCTTTATTTCAAAAATATGATATCGTATCAGGAATTTGTTTCACAAAAGCTGCGCTGTCCTGCTGCAGGTAAGCCTCCCCAATACACATTGAGTTAAAGGTTGAGAACCAAATAATGTAGACTTTCGCCTACATGTTCACCCAGTTGACCTCTGAAAGTGACAGCTCACGGTGAAATCTGATTGAATGATATATGTGCCTGCCATTTATTTACATGGCATGAGGAGACGGACTGTCTGCGGTAGACTAATTGCAAGGTTCAGCTGCAATCAGATGTAAAGGATTAAGTGTATATAATGCTCGAAGTGATGGACATTCTTGCCATTAAAAAAATGGACGTTGCTTCCAAAAAATGTTGATTATTTTCTCTTCGTGTTTTCCAAACACAGAATGTTTATGGAAAGAGTGTTAGGTGAATCATCGGTGTAGTGAGTTCACGGAGAGTGAGTAAGGCGCTAAATTTATTGGGCGATGCTATCATTACAAGGTGCCTTCTAATGTTCCCTTCAATATTGATAGACTGAGTTGTTTTTTCACCAACAGTGTGAATAAATAGTATATCAGAAGAATTGTAATTATCTTTTATTTATAATATAGACAAGTTGAGGCATTAATGGCTGTCACCTGTATGATAAATCAGGTGCACCAATGCCTTTCAATGGTACAGCTTTAGAATATTAAATAAGTATTTTTCTGAACCTTACAACACAAGACGGTACACCCAATGGATTTCTATTATTCTAAAGTGGCTAAATGAAGCTGATCCGTCCATGACCGTCAACTTAGTGTTAAAGGCAGAGAAAGCGTAAAAGTATACCTTGAAAGTATTCATGTTATTCTCTCACTAGTATTGAAATTACTCGTGAGTAACTTAAATTACTTTAAAAGTTTCCTTCGTTTAATCTTTGCACAAATAGTATTTACACTTTTGGAGAAATATTTTCCATACATACATTCCAAGACTTATGTCAGTGATATCTACAATTTTCATAAGATTTTGGATGTTTATTTTATTATTACATGAGCGTATTTATGAATAAGAGTCAAAAATATTATATTTGTTGCACGCTAGTTGACACTAAAATCAGCAATACTCTATTTTGAACATACGGCTTCGTTCAATAAATTCAACGACTAAATCTGTACATGGTCTAGAATCTGATATTTCTACTTGCACATCGGAGGTACGTAGAATATTAAGAACTCCATATTCTTGACCTCAAACATAAATAATTCCGTATAGTTCAATAACTGACACATTATGCATTGTATTGTCAACTGAAATGCGGCAAAGTATTATTCAACTGAATTTTTAATTACCACTATGCTTACAAATGTGCAACTTTCTCATTTTACTGCTATGAGAAAAATGTAACAATGCCAGAAATATTATATGATTCTTCAATCAGCTGTATGAATATGGATCGATTACTGTAATAAACAGCGTTTATATTTAAAACACGCAATTTAGACATTAAATTATCTAAAAATTGAAAAAATTAAACTTTAAAGTTGATAATGTTTTCAACTTAAAATTCCAAAATAATTCATCTAGAAATTAATATGCATAGCGGTTATAAAAAATTCAAGGAATATTTTCGTCAAGGATATCACAAGGAGAACGATCTTGGCAGGAGCACAGACTAACTATTACTTCCAACGGAAGAAATAATGAACAGATTTGTTTTCTCCTGATGTCTCCTAGTTTCCATGCATGTCTTTCCAATGCGATATTCTGGGACAGCAGTTTCAAAATTTCTCATATAAACAGATATCAAATATTTTATTCAATACACAGGAAATAACCACCAGAAATAAAGAAGTAAAAAAATAGAAGATATTTGTCTTCCTTATTATTCGTAGAATACATGAAGTTATAATATATTTTTTGTCCTACACAGTTGACACTTAGATTCTTTTAGCCCCGCCACTCTACAAATCATTCCACATGATTAAAAAAAACTATGTGCTCGCGAGATCGTTCTCCTGGCGGTCTCCTTGGCGCTGGCAGTGTGCGCAGTTGGTGTGTGCTCTACTGCAGTCTTCCTAGGCGCGGGCATGTAGGCCCTCGTTCTCCTTGGGTAGGGATGGCAATTGTTTTCTTTTTCAAAGTATCGATAGATTGATACCGCATTATATTGATAGACAAAACCCGGTGTACGATTTACAATGAATAAAATTAATCGGTATATCTACATCCCGCGTATTATTCCAGGGTGCAATCCAACTTGCGAAAGACCGTTAAATGAACGGTGCTTTCTTTATTAATAGATTTGATCGATGGTAACGTGTGGGCTTGTGTATTAGACACGAGTGCGACACCGAAACCACTTGGTATACAGCCTGGATCCAGAAAATGTGCAATGAAATTCTCAATTATTGAATGAGAAAGATTTACAACAGCGTTCTGACTTCGCACAAATTTTGTCGAATCAATATTAAAATCTCATATTTTCGATATTTTGCATTTCGTCAAAACATGCTTCCGTATCAATATACCGATACACTGAAAGAAAAATTCAGGTACTACGATGAAAACACGTAGTATCATTGCCATCCCTAGTTAGGACAAGCTAGTCAAAGTGGCCAGATACGCTCGTTGCGTTCCAATTAATTTAATGTCGTAAGTAGCGTGTATCGTATCGCTTGCTTGCCGCGAGTCCTCGTGTGCAGAGGCGCTAGCTCCCTTGAAGTGTTGCGTCCTACTTGCGCCCGTGACTGAGCGCTGAGAGACAATGGTGAAAGGTGGGAGAGGAAGCGGCGTTGAGAGGCGAAATAAAAAAATGACTCGAGTAAAAATAATGTTACAGAGTGTTGTGTCTTTTAAATATATTATAGTTTATGATAATACACAGCTTATTTTATTTTAAGAATGTTATATTATTCATGTTCTTTTTATTTTATTTCCCTCTGTTCTTGGATGTTTTGTAATGTGCCATGCTTACGTTGTGTAAAGTTCAGTGTACATAGTGAGAAGAGAAAGAGAGGAAAAAAATATGGTGTTTGAGCGTCAGCTGCCTTTGTTTGTTAGGCGTTGAACGCTATTGGGATGATTATCACGAATTTAATTTCCATGTTTGTAACCCATATCCTATGTACACAATACACGCCCAGTTCAAAAGCATTGTGAGGCATTGTAAATAGGAAAAATGTTGATGTTCCAGCACTGAGAGGAAGTATCTATCTCGTAATTCATAATTGTCTGTACCAATAAATACATTTACAAGGCATTCGTTTATCTCTTTCATCTGAGCCCTTTCTCCTGTCACCGTTTAGGTATTACCTTCCTGGAGCGTCTTGCATTAGGCAAGCGCGCTTCAGGTGCAGAGTCGATCTGATAAGGCGCACGCCCACG